AACGGGGGAGCCGGGCGCGTTGTCGGCCACGCGGTCCCCGGGCCCCGGCTGGCGCCTGTCGCGCGCCAGCTCGCGTTCCGTCGAGTTCTTCCTGTCGCGCCGGCGCCGGGCGCGCAGCAGCGTTTGCCGCCGCAAGGTGGCCCAGGCGCGCGAGAAGCGCTTCACTTTCGTGCTGGCTGTGGTCATGGGCGTGTTCGTGCTCTGCTGGTTCCCCTTTTTCTTCAGCTACAGCCTGTATGGCATCTGCCGCGAGGCTTGCCAGGTGCCCGACCCGCTCTTCAAATTCTTCTTCTGGATCGGCTACTGCAACAGCTCGCTCAACCCGGTTATCTACACCGTCTTCAACCAGGACTTCCGCCGCTCCTTCAAGCACATCCTCTTCCGACGGAGGAGAAGGGGCTTCAGGCAGTGAGTGACCAGTGTGACCCGCCGCACCCAGGGACCCTGGACTGCTGCGACCTCAGGCCGGACGGCCGACCATTGTGGCTGCGCGTAGAGGCGGGGGACAGCCGCAGACTGCTTCCTGCCCTTCAAAGTTGGGGGGCAGAGTCTCCAGAGACCCAGGGGTGCAGGGATTGGGGCCTGCGGCCGGTGCACAGGACAGGAGCATCGTGGATGGAGAGACAGTGGGGCCTCCGGGGAGGGGAGAGGAGAAGGGGAGACACCCCCTTGCCTTCCCACCTCAGCAAGGGGCTGCCTGGATCGGCTCTGGAGGCCCTGCCGAGGGTGGCCGTGAGGTCAGGGTTTTAGATGGCAGTCAGTGGCAGACGCAGCCTCCCAGAGGGATGAGAAGCTCCCCACCACAGACCACACACCACCCAGTATCCATGTCTGAGCAAGGGCTGACTCCCCCAGGACAGAGCCCTCGGCGGCTGCCTCAGGGCAGAGCGAAGGCGGTCCTGACAATCTTTGGTTACTGAAAGTCTTTCAGTGTTTGCCAAAAACAATGATAGCCAAAACAACCAAACTATTTTCTAAATAAACCTTTGTAATCTAAGTGCTGGCTGCTGCCGTCTGTTCTTCAGCGGGCGGTGGGGGCACGAAACTGCTAGGGCCCCACCGCCCCTCTTGCATGGTGAGGAGGGGGCCCCTTTTTAAAGGGAAATACTTTTATAGATACAATATATATATTTGATTAATGCAGATGCAATGTATATTTAAAATGCAGATACAAAATATATATTTAAAATGCTTGTGCTGTGGCAGAATAAGAGGCAAAAAAAGAAAGAACCCCGAGTTGACTCCAAATTTAGCATCTGGAGGGTTGTCTTCCTTCCGGGTTCACCCTGCCTCCACTGCCCTACCCCCTACCCTGGCATCCAGCCACGGCCCTGGCCTGGGAGAGGTCCTGCAGGACCCCAGGCCCACTGGATGGGGAACCGGGGCTCCCCCATCCAAGGTTCAAGTTCCACCTGGGAGCTTTGGGCGGCCAGCTCCTGGGCCTCTAGGCTAGCTCTGGGCCTGCCTCTTTGGAGGAGGGAGCGTGTTTGAACCTGCGCACAGGTGGAGAGAGCCAAGGCCAGCCCCAGACCCCTAGTCCAGGCAGGAGGTCTTCCCTTGTGAGCCCGGTGAGGAGGAAAGTGTCACATAACCACTGGCAATTTCTTGGAGGTTTCTGAACCCAGCGAGGGTCTTTGAGGCCCCAAATTGGGCAAGCCTTCAGTGACTGGCAAGGGGGCTCTGAGCCTGGGCGCCCCCAGCAGCAGCCCAGCCTTGCCCCACCCTCCACTGAGGCTGGAGGAGGGGGCGCTAGCAGACAAGAGCCTCCTGGGTCCTGGGGACTTTGCTGTCCTCAGGGCCAGGACCCCACAGCCTCCTCTGCCCCTCCCTTTGCAGACCCGGGAAGCTCCTGGGGTGGCTGGGGTGGGGGTGGGGGTGCAGAGCAGGACCTGGTTGTTGGGCGGGTGGAGCCCCCATGCACGTGAGCTCGGTGGGCTGGGGGACAGCTCCTGCTGGCGGCTGCTGCTTGTGACCATCTAACCCTCCCCTCCTCCCCCTTGGACCCCTCGTGGCTTCTCTGTATGTACTGACCCCCCGCGCCCCCAGCTCTCCCCATCTGTCCTGGGGAGAGGTCAGCCCTGGGGCCTGCCTTCCACCCCACCCTCATCCCTTGTGTCAAAAACCGGAGAGGGCCCCTGACCTGGGCTGACTTGGTGGGGCTGCCCTTGGAGCAGCTACCTGACTTCATCCCCCCAAATTATGGGTCCTCCAGACACCCCAACTTACAGAGGGACTCTTCAGTTTCCACGAATTGTCCTGGACTGTGCTCACAGGTAACTCCTGCGGTTACACTCACACCCACTGTGTGCTAGGATCCGGGACGGGCGGGGAGACCGAGGCCTGGGGGTGGGGGGAGGGCAGTGGGATTGGCTGGGGTGGAGCAGAGTGTGCAGGCCTTCCTCCCCTGGGCGGGGTGTGGACAGGTGCTCGGGTGAGCTTCAGCGTCCCCTGAAGCCTGGGGTCCAGCCTGCCAGCCTAGTGGGGGCCCACAGAGGGCGGCCTTGCTGCACAGACAGCATGCTGGTACGTATCTCACGAAGACAGAGTGGTCCAGGAAAGCTCTGAGGGTGGCCCCGGAAACCTGCACCAAATCACCTGCGCCTTTACTAAAAAGACCTCCGGACTCCCAGAATTACAGCTCCGTGTCTGTTTCTTACCCGGGTTTGCAGGCCCAGTCCAAAAGTGCTGGCAAAATGAGGGACCCCGGTCCCCCTTTTGAAGGTCATCGAGGGCCAGTCCTCAGGACCCCCTCTAGATCAGGAACCCCTGTCCTAAGAGGAATTACATTTTGAGCCCAGGGGTGTTATGAATAGCATGGGTGGGATGGGGACGCTCAGAACAGCAGAACACCAAACCTGTTGCGGGCGAGTCTATTCCAGTTCGTGGCACCCCCGTGCATTACAGAGCAGAACTGCTCCATAGGGTTTTCTTGGCTGTCATCTTAATGGAAGCAGATCACCAGGCCTTTCTTCCTTGGAGCCTCTGTTGGGTTCCAACTGGTAACCTTTAAGTTAGTAGTCGAGCACAAACCATTTACGCCACCCAGGGACCTCGGAAGGCTCAGAGAGGTGAGCACACCTGCCCAGGGCCACACAGCTTGTGGGCAGACTGAGGACCGGCCCAGGCCTCCTCGCTCCAAATTCAGCCATACAAGGACCACTGGCCCTGCTTCCCCTCAGGGGTCCAGGGAGAGAGAGATGTCCTCAGGCAGAGGAGCAGGGGAAGTGCAGGTGTGGGGTGGGAAATCCTGGTGGGAGTGGCACCTCCGTTCAAGTGTGGAGGGGGCATGGGGGCTGTGTGCCAGGCTCTGGAGGAGGGGCCGGGAGATCACCTGTGGCTCAGGGTGGCCCCCTGGGTGTAGCTGGAGGTGGGGGAGGGGTGGCTTAGTCAATTTCTGCAGAAGGAAGCCCACAGCCTGGGACCAGAGGTTCGTGACTTCCTGCTCCTCTGTCCCTTATGATGGTGGTGTGACCATGAGCCCGTCCCCTCTGAGCTGCAGGGCCTCCCGCGTGCAAGGGGATCCTGACCCCCCCAACATGAGGCCCTTGGGAGGTTATTCCGAGTACACAACAGGGCCACAGAGCCTGGAGTGGGGTCCCTGGAAGAATGTCAGTAACCCCCACACCCCTTCCTTCCCCAGTCCCAGGAATTGGGCCTTCCCGGGCTGGCTGGCCTGCTTCCACCCTGCTCGATACCCCATTCAGCCGACAGGTATTCCTACTCCATCTGATTGCTGCGGCAGAGACTTCCTCAGTGACAAACAGGCAGAAGCTGGCTTCCCCCCTGTGCCGTCTGCCCCGGGGAACAGGAGATCAAGGGCCTCACAGGCCTCATGTCTTCTGGATGAGGTGGGCACTCTGGCACCCACCTGAGGGCCCTGAGCACCACTGCCCCCACATGCTGGTCCCGTGTTACGTCCGGGCCAGGAACCACCTTTCCAGCCCTTTCTCTGGCATGTCCGCCCCACCAGCCATGCACCGCAGGCCGGTCATTCATGGGGTGGCACTCTTCTCTCAGAGACAAAGCCTAAAGATCCTCATCTCCCATCTTCCCAGCCACCCCGCAGAGGTGACCATCTGGCCCAGGACCCATAGGAGCAAAGCTGGGGCTGGAAACATCTGCTCTAGGGAGCCCCCTCTGTGGACCCCTAGCCTGGGGGTCCTCAGTGCTGGCCTTCCATGGCCCACAGAACAGGGATTTGGGAACTGAGGACCTTGTAAATTGGCGGTCCCCCTGGGCCTGGGGGCAGGGTAAAGTAGGGGCTCCCCAGGGCCTGGCCTTGGAGCAGCGCTGCTCCTGTGTTCTTTGGTCACTCGGGGGATTTCAGACAAAACCTTAAAACAAGCCCAGCAAGATCAAGAAGGTCGGGTCCTGAAGGACGCGAGGTACGGGCCTCAATCCCGCTTCTCCGGGCCAATGCATGCCTGGCCCTCCCCTATGGCTGATGAAACCTGTAAAAGCTGGAACCTGTGGAATTCCGGTCAGAAAAGGAAAACGTGAATACTTTCCACTAACGGAGAGCGATGGCGAAGCGTTGAGACTGCACCCTGCCAAAGGCGGCAAACTCGTGACACCCGGAAAAACACAGCAGTCCCGTGAAGTTCCGGCTCTCCCAGATTCCACTCTCCATATGTGCTTCTGTCCATACAGATGCTTTTGCTGTGGTTGGGTGCCATCCAGTGGGCTCCAATCATGGCTACCTTATACATAGAATGAAGCCTTGCCCAGTCCTACACCATCATCATGATCATTGATAAATACGTGTTGATTTTTGAGTTGATTTTCCACTTGTGGCAACCCCATGTGACAGAGTAGAATTGCCCCATAGGGTTTTCTAGGCTGTGGTCTTTACAGAAGCAGATCACCAGGTATTTCTTTTCTGGAGCCTCTGGGTGGGTTTGAACTGCCAACCTCTTGGTTAGCAGCCGAGCACTTAACCGTTGTGCCACGGATGCTCCTTGATATATGTAACTAATTCCTGTATTTTAACCTGATTGTTGGGTCTGTAGAAAAGGAAAACAGAAAAGAATCATTTAACCCCAATATTTCACTGCAGCTTAGTATGGAATTCAAAGGAAACTAGCAGCCGAGCAGCCAGAAGCCCGCCTCCCCGATCCTGCCCCAGTGCGGGGTGGGGCCTCGGGAGCGGGGAGGAGCACGTGGTGGGGCTGGCGGCCACTGAGCTTCTCTATCACATTCATTGCAGGGCTCAAATGTTCAGTGTGGCTTCAGATCAAAACACATGGCACCTGCAGGGCCGTCTGAAGTCTGGTGTGGCAGTGCGGCCCCCACGTGCTGGGAACGGGGCAGGGCCAGAGGAGGGGGCAGCCCGGCTGGGGTCCCCTGAGCCTAGCCCTGGTGTGTGTGTGGCGCCTGATGAGCACCTGACCTGGGCTCGCTGTGGGCAGGTGG